TTGCAGAAGTTTCTCTAAACAGTTCTCTTTCATAGTCCACCAATAAGATGGCATGCCATCACATGCATTCGTGACTATTTGATGCAAAAGTTTGAAATAGAATAACTATTTTTTTGAAAGAATAAATGCTCTTAAAGGCTCTATTACCTGGGCTGACTTTTTGGAGAAAAACATTAGACCAGGATGATTCATTTATTGATATTTCTCAACATCATGAAGCTGTGACCTCTCTAAGAGAGGTCTCTTAAAACTCAGGAAATTAAAGAAGTAATACATTTTTCTCACCACTTGACAAAACCAGGGCCCAACACTAAATATTAAGCATTAACGACCAGCAGCAGATTAAAGACAGAACTAGGTATTTGAGAATCTATGTTCTGATTAGGTCCCCAAACAGAGACTCTATCACCTCTCCCAGATATCCAGGGTTGAAATGACCTCACCGCATCCCTTCTAAATATTTAATAAATTGTTTCTTGTTGCTGAACCCTACATGGAAATGACCCGGAAAGAAAGAAAAATTAACAGGCTTCCTCTGCCCTCTGTGATTAAGCATACTTCCCTAGCGTACCATAAAGGAAGCAAATTTATGGTTCACAAAGGCCTATCACCCTACACCACACTCAGTATAAAATATTTCTATTGAGTAAAGTGTGTTTTCCCAATTTTCCTATGTTAAATCAACAATGCTCAGAAACACTAGCTGCTAGAATCTAAATATCCCATGATCAGCAGGATTTATATTTGGAACTATAATATCCACTCATCTACTATTCAGATCTGTTTTCTATTTAAAACCAGCCTTGTCCCACAGAATTTTCTGGAATGATGGAAATGGTGTATATTGCTCAACCCAGTAGGCAGCCACCATCCAACTCTAATACACATAGAGCAATTGTTTGGGAATGGACTTAAAAATTAATTGTATAAATCAATTTGTTCATGCTGGTGCTGTTTCCCTTTATCTGTGAAGTGCTAACCTAGATGATTCTTAAAACTGCTTAAAAAAAAAATCTTTAAAAAGTACAGTCACATAATGTGACTAGAAACTGATACAATTGTTTTCCCACCATTTTTACAAAAACCAGTTTGTAGTTACTATTGCACATTCATGGGCACAGAGCATGCACAGACATTTACAAGCACACAGATGCTCTAAATGATTCACGATATGCACATGAGAAGAAGCCAGGAAAAGGCTGTTTTGAGGTAGTTCTGCCTAATCCTACTCTTGGTGTATAGGATGTAAACACTTTGGACCAAAAACTAATTTCCAGGAAACTAGGAATAGTTGATATATTAAATATATATATATATGTGTGTGTGCGTGTGTATATATATATATATATATATACATATATATATATATATATAATATGTAGGTATACATATTTATATCATCTATCTTTTTGCTACTATCTTTGTCAAAGAAAGAAACAGTAAGAATATCCAAAGGGAAGATGCCTTCAAATATACTATTTTAACAACTATTTCAACTCATGAAGAACTTAGAAACAAGGCCTACTCATGGCAGGCGTCAGCACCTATCATATCCAGTTGGGTCTACCTTTAGTTTGATCCTTGGGTCTAATTTTATGAGCTAGAGCAGCCCGTCCCTTAGATAGAGTCCAATTTACTTAAGCTCGAGATCTGTCTTTTAAAATCTCATTCTTTTTGGAAAAACCCAAAGGTCATGTTTACAGAGTAGATGCACAGGAGGATTAAATAAATGTGGAAGTGCTTGAGCTGCAGGCCTTTTTATTTTATTAGAGATGCTGCTAATCTTTAGGTGATTATTTTTGCAATATAAAATACACATCCTGGATTATGAACACCCATTCCCCACCTGACACTCTCATAAACAGTTTTGTAAAAGCTAATTTTAGATGGCTTGTAGGGTCCACATTTCACTATCAGAGACACTTTAAAATGGTTTAAAGTCTCTATGCCCCTCAACACCCCTCTGTAAGCGAACCCCCTTTCACGTCACAGACCAACCAGTGTTGGGGGTTTGCATGGGGTGGAAGAGACAAAAGCAGTGGCATTTGTTGTGGGTGAGAAAGGGTGTTATGCCTCACTCTTCACAGGAGTGTCCTCTGTGTGCCACAGCCATTTCAACAGCAGCATTTCTCATTTCTGGAAATCTCTGTGGTTCATGATGCCTTTCCTATTACTATCATTTCATTTGCTTCTCACCAGGGAGACCCGTAGACTAGAAATTCTTGCCTACATTTGTAAATCAGTTAAAAAAGGCTGCAAGCTGCAGACAAACTCGAGTAGGTAGTCCTGAGCCCAGAGCCACCAGGATGTATTTCTTTTCTCCCCACTGGACTTTGATTAAAACGTGCACACAAGTGATATTTGCAACAAACACAATTTCTAAGGGTGATTTCTCCTTATGAAAACTGCAACTATAGTTCCCGTTATCCTGTTCTCTCTTTGAAGTGGGTTAAAATGCACTGTGCCATTTAAGGGAGCCATTTTAAATCATGGGTTTTTAAAAGTGGTAGGATTTTTTTTTTTTTAATCATAGAAATAGTTGAAGCAAATATAGGACATATAAGCATCCAGTTTGCTGGGAAGAGGAATTAGGGTATTATATTGCTTTACCAAAAGATTTTCTGAATAAGATTGCTTTTAATAGCACAGTTCTCCAGTACATTTAAGATATGTTGATTTATGAAAATCTGATTCATACAGAACTTTACAGGAATACATCTGTTATATAAATCCATATTCACCTGTAATTTACTCTAGAGGGAACAATTGAGTGATAATAATAATAACATACTCATATAGTTCTTCATTCTATATTTTAAAGTGCTTACCTCTAATTTATTGCATTTGTCTTTGGCAATCTTATAAGGGAGGCAGAGAAGGTATCATTATCCTTTCTTTACAGATGAGAAATTGAGAGGTTAAGTGACTTGCCCAAGGTCAGACAGGCCATTCATTCATTTACTTCTATTTCAGTGATGTAGTTTTAACAGGATAGTCAAGGAAGTAAGATTCTTCCTCCCAATTTTTTTTTTAACCAGCTGTGAAGGCTATTAAAGCAGGAGTAGGTGACCTCACAAATATAATGCTGAATGAAAGAAGCCAGACAGCATGAGTCAATTAATATAAAACTCAAATGCAGGCAGTGGGAATCTATGGTGGCAGAATGAATTGGGATGAAGGAGGGCTTCTGACAAAGGATAACACTCTCTCTGCTGATCTGGCTTGTGGTGCCGGACTATTCACTGTGAAAATTCACTAACATATACTCATATGTGTCTATATTACATGCTTTCTTTCAATAAAAGTTGCATCTTTAGAAACAGTTTGATCCACTGTATCTGCTGTATACACATATCCTCTGGGCACCTGTGATTCCAAGTAAGCTATGATCCTTAGCTGTGTACACAAAATGAGAATGTGGGCTAAATATCGAGAGCTTCAAGAAAGAAGAACAGGTGGGCCAAAAATATATCCAGGATCATCTTCTCTGAAAAGTGACTATATGAGACGGGGAATGGGAGCATTTTTCATTTAGGATGAGCTGAGAAGTTTCCACTGAATAGCAAGCTAGGAGTTGTGGGAACTGAGATTCAGTTGTTATTCGCACAGTATATTTCAGAGAATTTATATGAATTTACAGGAGCCAAGATTATAATTTTTAGAAGAATTTTCCTTCTTATTCAGAATCGGTGTATTAACCCTGAGCAGGGTCCATATACCAGGGAGAAAACATGGCCTCCTGAGATTCCCCAAGAACCTTCCACAGAAAAAAGCAGGGGAGGAATTCATCTTGACCAGTGTCGAGGGGAAAAGTTACACATGCTTTCAATTGCTTGAAGCAATTTCAAAACTGATGTAGTTTCCCAAGAATCCTTTACCTGGTGACCTGCAACCCTGGGTACTCTCACTATGCTTTTGTGCAAAGTTACCACGGATGGCAAACATTTTCTTTCATTTTTACATAAGGTCTTTTCTTTTTTTAAAGAGTATGCTGTGGTACCTTTTCTCCAGATTGTGTTTATCAAGCCTCTTACTTGGTCAGGAAAATAGAATTTTGGGGTGATGGGTCAGACTTGGTCCAGGGCCAAAGGAAGCTCAGACAAGGATACAGCTTGATGGGTTTTCCCAAGGGAGCTGAAGGGGTCCCGCTGGGGAGATGCTTTTTAATTTCAATCCAGCCACACATTTCTTTTCATTCCTAGCCACTGCACGTGCACTCAGACCTGGCTAGTTATTTATTTTTAATAAATGTGCCCTGAGTAGCTGCCTGCATGTTACGGAATAAGGACAGGGCCAGTCATCATGATTCCAGGCTCCAGGACAAGAGGGACATAGCTGTCCTGGGCAGTGTGGACTATGGACACTCACTCCCCTGTGTCCCCTATATCGCCCCTATCACAGATAGGCCAAGAGATGCTCCGGATGCAGGGAAGAGACAAGGAGAGGCCACTTGAAAAAATCAACCAAACCAGGCCCAATCCCCGCCTCTAACCCTCCCCCCCCCCACTCCAGCCACAGGTCCACGAGGCTTCTTTTCATGAGCCCTGCCCACGACAGAGAGCTACAAAGCACAGCTGTGTATGGCTGGAGTCCTGCCAGCAGAGGAGACCCCCTGGAATGGCCGAGGAGGGTCTGCAGTGCTAATGCAGTTCATCACCCTGCTCCCTGCGAGATCCTGGTTCGAACTATGGCAGCTCTGACGATTCTGGGATCTCATTTCCCTCACAGCCAAGCTGTTGATGCATATTCGCCTGTGACTTTCCTCTCCCATCATCCTGAACTGTGATCTCCCTTTTCCTCCTGTGTCATGTCTGTGGATGTGATGTCTTGTGACCTCTCGCCACCGTACACGGGCCATGTTACTTTTGGGCTTTTACTTATTTTCACTCTTGGTTCGAGGTCACAGGACAGATACAGTTACACATAACTTTGATCCCAGTTTGGACTAAATTGGCCTCCCATTATTTTTGGTATAGAAAAAGATAAAATGAGATATTTACCATTAAGCCTTGTTCTCCTGGTTTTCCTGGTTCACCCTTAAGAAAAAGAAACAGTGATCATTTTATTAATGCTATAAACATTACAGAACAATTTCGACCTTCTTTCTCCTTTTCACGACAACCACTGGGGAGCATGAATGTCTGCACTTTTCAGACTAGGAGGAATATTTTTACTACTTTGGCATTATACAAATATTTTAAGTTAAAGTAGTACTCTAAATAATTTAATTCAGCAGTAAAACTGAATTTCAAGTCCTAAAACCATAAGATAAAGGCATAAAAATTTTCTATATGAACATCTCTCTGTAAATATATAGGAAAAAGGTGAATTGCTTTGACCTTTTCCATGTTTCTTTAATTCCTGAGTTACTACTATCAAAGCAAATTAGTTTTCTAGGATCCTTTGTTACTGTGTATTGACACCAGACTAATCTTGATGATTAAGTACGCAACTGCTTAGTGAGACCTAAGTCTTGAGATCACGTTTAGATCAATTCCATTAATTAGCTTCGCCTGAAAAGAACAAATGCTATTCAAACCACACTCACTGGTGGTTTAACCATTAATGTTACTGCTTCATTAGAAATTTATTGGTTCTTTGGATAATTTGGTTATTTGCAAGGGATTAAAGATTAGAAAGATTTATCTTCTGTGCCTTCATGAACAGTATAAGACTTTACTGTCTCCTCTACAGAGTCCTTGGAAAACATCATTAATCTCCTGCCTAGTTTTCCAGACTAATCTACCATCTGACGCAAAGGCCCCTGTGTCCTCTGAGCTGGTCAGAACCCACTGACAACAGACCTTGCCAGTCAGAGGTTCTCCAGGCTCCCCTGAAAACCACTGCAATTGCTGCCAACAGGTGTTTGTGGTTTCATGGGTGCCCCTAGGGCTTGAGGGGGGCAGCAGAATCCTACTGGCAGAGCCCTCTGCTTGGGCTTCTTCCCATCACCCCATTTCCCCTCCACCCCACCCACCTCTGACCATTAACCCTCCAGCCTCTCCCCACCCCATCCTCAGTCCTTGAAATGGAACAAACCCCCAAGAACTGATCCAAAAAGCAACTCACGGGCACGCCTGGCATTCCACGGGGGCCATCCTTCCCTGTGTCCCCAGGAGGCCCCCTTGGGCCTGGAGGGCCTGGGGGTCCTGGGGGCCCGGCCTGTCCTTGGTCACCCTACAAGCAAAAAGGAACAGCCAACAATGACCATGAAAGATAGGGACCCAGGTCTTCTTTTCAACACTTTAAATTCATATTATCTAATCCACATTTACACTATGAAAAGAACCAGAACAACCAGAAACATGAAGCCTGTAGGCAATTTGCCTGCCAGCAGGGAGCAAATAAATATTCATGCTGGGTGAGCTGAGGAGATGCTATTAAATCAAAGCAGCTCTGGGCTCTTAGCAGACTTCTGCACGACTGTGTACACGATAAGGCTGCACGGGGACTTGTTTCACTGAGAAGGTGAAACTTGTTTCACCACGGTAAGGTGCATCGATCACCTTGTTTCAGAAAAAGGCTTCATGCGTCTTTTGGGCAAATGTGATTTTCCTAACCTATAAAATCACTCTAACCGATAAAATGAAGCATACGACACTCTGGTCAGGCTGTATCATAATTTATAAACCAGAGAACTTAGGAACTGCATCTATTCTTGGATACGACTGAAGTTCTCTTTTTCAGTTCAGAAAAAAAATTAGATTGGCTTTTGGTATTTTCAGCTATGTTTCCAACAAATGCAGCTCACTAGACAGAATTGTGCCCTAGGAAATTTCCAAAGAAATTCCACCTCCTCCCCCCGAACCCCTTCCCCAGCCTCCCCACCCTCACCCCCCATGAGAGATCCATGGGTAAAGCGACAGGGCACAGAGCAACAGCCGAGCGCCAGGGAGAAAACAGACGGGAGCGAGTACAGGCACTACCTTTATCAGGCGGCGTTTAATGAGCTGCTGATCAGCAGAGAGAAAGCCATGATTGATTTTAGGAAACACCATCTGATCAGTCAGGTGAGGTCAAAGGTTGAGGTTCAGAGGTGAGAGAGTTGGAGAAGAGACATCAGAAGGTCCCAAGAAAGAAATAAAGAGAGACACATTAGATTTGTAATGACCATTGTGCAAAACAGGACCGGTCCTTGTCTCCGACCTCAGACCCACAGGCTCTTGTGCAAAGATGCAGAACCCTGCCCGGGTGGTGCGACCAGACGGCTCACTGAGGAGTGAGTGTTTTTTGGGTCCGGTCACCGTGATGTGGGTGGTGGAAGACAGCAGGGGAGCCTGTGTCAGCTACATCCTGGCCCTGGGCAGAAGGTCCAGAGACAAACACCGGTTCAGTTTCCATCAGACTTGTCAACCAGCATAGTGAGGCATGAACGTGGCTGCCGTTTGATTGGTGGCTGATGTCCAGAGTCCCTAGGATGACTTCACGGGCCAAAACGTACCCCGGAGGATTGGAGTGCACGCAAATGGGGCCATGGAGGTGGGGCGGGGTGCTGGGCGGGCAGTTTGGCCATTCTCCTCCCTCCCCACTTCTATATCCTCTCTTACAAGCTCAAGCACCGTCATGGTGTATCCTTGACCTCTCTGATGTCAGTGAGGTCCCTGGGGTCTAGAAATGTGGCCGGGTGCGCAGGACTCGGCCAGCCAATTCGGCCGTTCTTGCCCCTTCGATGCTGGTTGCGGGAGCTGACCGAATGGGCACGGTGCCAGACACAAACCTTGACGGTGAGGATCTGATTACTGTGCAGAGCGGCAACTGTGGGGAAGCCTGGCAGGCCCTGGGGACGTGCACAGCACCAAAACAATACAACACAAAACGTCACACGGACATCACAGTGGTGGACAAACACAGCCAGCCTGCTGTCACCCTGTCTCGCGCTAGGTGTTGTCGAGCGTCACGCGACACAAACAATATACAGAGGAGACCCCCATTTCTTAGAGGGATGGCACGGGGAGCGCGCCTTGTTGTCACTGCCCCGGCAGGCAGGGGTGGTGGCGTCCACTGTTCACTCTTAACGTGCCTGAAATCTTACAAAACGTTAGTGCAACGTCGGGGTGACTGCAGACACCATCTGCTGTGATGACAACACTCTGGTTTCCCCCTGTGGGTGGAATATTTACAGTGAGGATAGACAATACGCACATTAAATCCTCTCTGAACAAACTCACTAGCACATAGGAGGGGGTCTTCAGAGTACACACGGGGCGCCCCACAAAATGTGACCTCACAACCCATAGGTTAATATTTCTCTCTCTAGCCATTTGGGGGGCCAAGGTCTCCCCTGCTTCAGGGATGCTTGCGGGGTGCTGGGTGGGAATGCGTCTCTCATAACATGTTTCGCCTCAGGGTGAGGGCATCAGTGGCCACACTCAGCAGGAATCGCTCTGTCAGGAGACTTTCCCCAAACAGCTCAACAGTTCACATACCCCCTTAAAGGATAAAGGTGAGTTGGAATTCTTTAACCAAGGAGAATGGGAGAAAGATCTTTCGGAGGACTGTCCTTGGTCAAACTCATCCTCCTCTAAGGGGACAATGTCTGTGGGGAGAAATTAAGTGCTGTCCAAAGGTTAACAGTGATACAATAATAACAGTTATAACGATGATAATTAAAAGAAACAGAAAACTCATCCTCACAGGTGTCATCAGCTGGTAGAGAAATGCTGCCTTTGCTCTATTTCTTTTCCAACCACATGTGACAGTGAAGTCTTTTAGTCCAAGTTATCTCCCCACACACAGAATAGGCTCACTGTACACATAATTAAGTGAACAGCCATCAAGAGTGCCTGGCCTCACATGGCTCAGGCTCACCCCACTCCTTCCCCCCTTCCCAAACCTATTTTGAGGATATTTTTAGGAAAAAAAACCCAAAAAACAAATTTCTAGTTTTTGAAATTGCATTAGTTTGGGTATATTTTCTCCCTTATTTTGCTGCTAGCTATTTTTCTTTTTGAGAGATAAATAAAACATAAAATAATGTTTGTAGGATGAAGATATATCTTCAGCCCTAATGCCTTTGATTCTCATCCTTGAGAGCTGGGACTTCTCAGGAAGCCGAAGAGAGGAAATCTTATCCCTTTTGCCAAATCCTTTCCGATAAGGCTATTAAGTGGCTGCGGATGACCTGTATCCTCTTTTCCTTCTCCTCAAGTCAAAGTCCTTTAAACATCCTTCTGCACAAATTCAGAAATGCTACAAGTTGGAAAACAGATGTGTACAATTTGCTTTTGTTTTACTATGGAATATGAGTTTAAAATGTTATTAGATGATGATGTGCCAGCATCTTTCCATCTGTGATTCATTAGTCCTATATTACACAGTCAGAATTTTATATCTAAAGCTCATATTTATGTAACAAAGAACAAAAACAGATACAAACAAGAAGTCCACGAGGCATCAGGATCTTGATTAGTGGCGATAAATCAAAATGTCACTTGAAACAGGATTATCTAACAAAAGTAATTTAAAATGGAAAACCTTTCACAGCACACATGGTGGGGGCTTCAAAATATTTTGGAATTTGAATATATAAATAGGTCCCTTCTCGTACTCATCTCTGAGCATGGCCAGCTTGCTGTCTGATCACTTTGTCTAAATGCTTACAAGAAAGTGTGAAATTTTACAACTTCTTTGTTAGGTTTCCACTGTTCACCAGCTCTGAAGAGAAAACTGACAGGTAATTCTCACCTCAGACAGATCCATTTCTTCAAATAGAAAATCTGTTTGAGCAAACTGATTTTATATACCTCAATCATCTCAAAGGTAGAAATGCTACCATGTAGGAGTTTAAGCTACATTTTAAATGCCCCACTAGTGATGTGGCAAAAGGACTTCAGGAGTTACCCATAGTCAAAAGGAGCCAGGCATAAGGATTCTCTTAAATTCTAACAAAACTCCATGGCTTGGGATGCAAACCCCAGGACCCTGTGCTTTCCAAATTGGGGTACATGAAGGGTGTAAGCCAGTGGAAGGTAACACTGGTTTTCAACCCTGTTTATGCTTCAGAAATCTAGGCTCCCAGTTCTTCATGTACTTTAATAAAGAACTGTTAAAAACAGTCAAAGAATAATAAATATGGTGCATCCTTGAGAGTAACTGTTAATTAACAGTAAAGTTGTAAACATTTTCTGTGCGAAGCAATCACTGGCATGTTGTAAGATAGAATGCAAAATTTGCACAATTTAAAAAAATGTTACCATTTGATGGCAAAGGACCCTAGTGTCACAGGAGACACCCCCAGATCATGGAGCCACTGAATCTTCTGGTAGGGGGGGAGGGGGATTGTTGTAGGAGGGAGTATGGTACTCTCCTCAGCAGACACTGAGGGCTGACCAGAGCCTTGTTCTTTGTGGCCACAACCACTAAGCTTTTCCTAGCTGTGCACACAGAACCAGAACCCACATTTCCATCAACTGTGCCACCTCTCCCCCCCCACGGTATCATTACTCACAGTCCTCTCTAAATAAACGGAATGGACACATTTCAGTCGCTTTTGCATCTCTGAAAACTTGCCTGCTACACAGATGGTTGGAGTGGGTGTGGAAAATAAATGTGCTTCCAGAAAAACATGGAGAAAAAGTCCAGGAGAAAGCTGAAATGCAGAAATAAATTGCACCTATGTTCACCCCCAAATATCTGGAATTCTTCAGAAATTGGATGAATAGAAACATAAAGCTGCGTAACTTCCCTCTGAGCAGACTGAGTCAACTTCACGAATGTTCCTGACCTGCTATGAAGTCAAGACTGAATTCTGGACACTATCTGAAGAAGCCCTATCTCCTAGAAGGAAAAGATGGAAGCCTACCCCAGAGGGGTATAAAAATATATATAATTTGTAAGAAATGCTTCTGGCCACTTAGAATTGATAAATTCAAGATGTTATTGCCATTTTTCCCGGTTCTCAGTAATGATGAGTGCTACATGATTACATTATAGTGAGAAAATGTGTTTTGTCAAAAGTTTCAACTAGGGAATGATAGAGCCAGAAATTTAACCCACGACTTTGAATTCCAGGCTTTGTCATCATGCAGTTTATGTGTTTATAATTTCTTTCTCCTTGTTTTGTAGCTTAAATATTAGAAAACTGGAAAACTGAGGAACATTCAACAACGTTTAGGGGTATCTGTTCAGCACCTCCCATGTAGCCTCCCTGTGCTGGGCCTGGGAACTGAATGGGGAGCAAGACCCTAAGCTCAGGGGTTACTGTCAAGCAGAAAAGTAGAGGAACTTCCAGCGCGAGTCCTCTATGCTGGAGAAGCCGAGGCGACTAAAGAGATCAAGCCTGCTCCTCGCACCAGGTAGCACAGATGGCTTTGTGAGCTAGCAGGATAAGGGGATGGGACTGGCATCACAAGAGGAAAACTGAACTCAGAGAGACATTTTGGGAAATATTACAATAGTCCAGTGGAGGGAATATGTCCTAGAACCAGAGAGTGAGAAACTGATAGTTTTGTGGGAAAGAGGTAGAACGTGCAGGACTTGTAGCTTGGCTGACAGTCTGGGGGAGAAAGAGCAGCAGAGATGGGCTCTCAGGTCACCAACTCGCACAAGGGAAGCGGGAAGAGGGAGAGAGTGCACGTGCTGAGAGCCAGTGATCGTAGGTGATGGACTCAGTTGGGGACATGCTGAATTGGATGCCTCTCTGGAAAACCAAGGGCCGGCAGCTCAAATAGCAGGAGAGAGTGGGAATCGCCAGTCCTACCGAGGGCTGCGTGGAGCCGGCTATGAGGCTGCAGAGAGGCAGCCCTAAGAAACAGCACTTGGAAAGATGGTGATTTAAGGAATAGCAGAGGAAGGCTCAACTACAAAGAGGATTAATAAAAAGGGGCTATAGAAGCGGGAAGAATGCTAGCCCTCTCTACAACAAATGACTCAAAATGATGGACACACGTGTTTATGGCATGATGTTTATTACATCATGATTTGTGCTGCCTCACTGCACATGGCTGACCTAGAGTAAGGACCGGCTAACAACGACCAGTATGACTCACAGTAGAGGTCCCCAATAGCAAACCATATTGGAAGAAATATGCATTTTGTTGAGAAATGAGAATCCCTGAGTTTCTCCACAATGTAAATCATATCATGATTCTGTTTGCCTAAAATATATCATGCATTACAAAACAACCAATGAAGTGGGCGTGTGTGCCGTATAAATAAAGAGGAATATTCCTAGAAGTTGATAAAATGATTACTAGCTAAGAGAGGCCAGATGGGGAAATATCATCACAGAATGCAGAAACATTTAGGTGAAAGAATATCTTTAGCTTAACAGCAGGAACTGTTAGCAGGCTACAGGAAGAAAGAAAAGAAATCTAGAGAAAGAAATTGGCCACTAAATCCTTCCATCTTGCAGTAAGTGGTTAGTCTGTCCAAATAGAAAAATCAACTCTATGAAGCTGAGTAGCTAAAGAAATCCTTTGGGTAACCAAACAGGCTTGAAAAATCTGTGACAATCAACTTAGAACTGGCTAGAAAAGGTTGCCTTATGGAAGCACTGATTATGTCAGCTGACTCAGAAAGTTCACCTTTCTTGTTAAAAGACACTGTCAGTTCCATTCTATTGTATCATGTATGTTAGCCCCAGTCAATTCAAGAATTATTTTTATATGTAAGTGACAAATATGAATTCATGTATTCTTTAGCAGAGGAGGGTGAATACAATCTCTCCATGGGCACAGACTGTGGCTAAAATGCCAAGTAAGGGCAAAATACAGAAGGTCTGCAAACAAGCAGAAAGATGGCAGGTGAGCCTTCACACTAGCAAGGAAAATGTATCAG